CAATTCAAAGTGAAGCATCTCCACCCCCATCGTTCTGCCTGGACACTGAGGTCCAGAGCTGAGGGCCTTCTGGCAGTTCCCTCACTGCGAGAAGCCAAGTTACAGGGAACCAGGCAGAGGGCCTTCTCAGTAGCGGCACCCACCCTGTGGAACGCCCTCCCACCAGATGTCAAAGAGAAGAACAACTACCAGACTTTTAGAAGACATCTGAAGGCAGCCCTGTTTAGGGAAGCTTTTAATGTTTAACAGACCACTGTATTTTAATATTTTGTTGGAAGCCACCCAGAGTGGGTGGGGAATAAATAATAAATTATTATTATTATTATTGCATGACAAGATACAAGGCCCACTGTCCCAGCACTACTGGAGGTTCCAACCATGGCAGCTGTCAGAAAGCTAAAGGGAGAGAGGGTCCTAAGTTGGAGACCCTACCATTTCAAAAGACCAAGGGGATGGCCACTTATGCAAACAGAGGGTGATGGAGAAAATTTGAAGAGGTATATATCCAAATACGTTTGTGAGATACTGAAGGAGGAGGAGGAGAAAGAGGGGTGTTCAATGGGATTTTCTACTGGGCAACTGTGTATATGATTTTAAGCCTAAGGCCCCATTAAATTCCTTCAGTTTTACTTCTGATTAGATGTTTCTGGGATTGCAATGTAAAAATGACTTGGGAAATTGTGTATATGTTCAGGCTTGCACATCTTGCAAGACGCTGTAAATATAAAGAAAGAACAGATCAGGAATCACTTTGTGAGCTACAGGAATAGATGTATGAATCATAATGTGCCTTTGACAATATTTAGAGATATATGCGGACAGAATTCAGTATTAGCTTTGTTAATTGAATAGTGTTGGAATGAAATGAATTTAAACACTATGATGAATGGAATTACAAATTGTATACTTTTTACTCTGGATGAAATGAATATATGATAATTCCACAACGCAAGTTATGGCTGAACTGTGTTGAGTTATAAAATCATAAGCTTTTTCTAAAAAAAAAATCCTCCAAAATGAATATTAACTTCAGAGACGAATCCCAAGGGCAAATACAATGTATCAATCAGAATGGACCTCCGTTTGTAGAGCATATCGTGTAGTGTTCTATAAGAAGAGTTATTTGTTTTATTATTTTATCTCTGCCCAAAAAACCATTCATCCAAGGAGCTCTGGGCTGTATATACATTGTCTCCCCTCTCCTCCATATTTTTTTTTTGTGTATATATATATATATATATATATATATATATGTGTGTGTGTGTGTGTGTGTGTGTGTGTGTGTGTGTGTGTGTATGTGTGTGTGTGTGTGTGTGTGTGTATATATATATATATATATATATAATTGCTGCAACACACACACAACACTAAAAGAATAAACTTAAAAAGAAAATACAAATACAAGTTCGAATATAGATACAAATACTAAGCAAATAAAAAACATATAACCATATTTCACTTCTTGTTTTCTTCTAATTGACTTCCTTCATCCTCAGCACGGGTCTACTTTCATATTTAATAAACTGTTTCCTTCTCATTTCATTTTTTCCTACTTTTCTTTCTATTTTAGACTTTTACACCTTAACTTGTTTTGCAAAAGTTAATCAAAACAAGTCCAGGTATTAATCTGAGGGCACTGCTTTTTAAGATAATCTCTATATTTTCCCCATTCCTTTTGAAATTTTTGTTTAGACTGACCCCTAATTGCACCTGTCGTTCTAGCCAACTCAAGCTAATCAAATAATTTTTCTTGCCATTTTTTTTTTTTGTTGGTGCTGACTTGTTTTTCCAATTTTTGGCATTTGTTGGGTAGGCTAGGGTGAGATGCAGAAGTCTGACTGAAGATCGCCCAGTGAGCTGCATGACTGAGCGGGAATTAGATCCCAGGTATCTCCAGTCCTAAATCATCACTCTGGTGCCATCTGCACTACACATTTAAAGAATTATCACAACACTTTCAATTGCCATGGCTTCCCCCAAAGAATCCTGGGATCTGTAGTTTGTTAAAGATGCTGAGATTTGTTCAGAGACCCTTTCCAGAGCTACAGTTCCGAGAGTGGTTTAACAGTCAATCCCTCTTCACAAGGAACTGTGGAGAATATAGCTTTGTGAGAACAATAGGGGTCTCCTAATAACTATCAACACCCATAACAAACCACAGATCCCAAGATTCTTTGGGGCAATCCATAATTGCTTAAATGGTGTTAAATTGCTTCAAGTGTATAGTGCAGCTGGAGCTTCTAATCTAGGCGTAATAAATGTGGTGCACTGCATACATTAGAATACAACTCCCATCATACCTAATCATTCTTCATGTCAGCTCAGACAAATGGGATTTGTATGGCATGCTTGCTACCTTTGTACTATACCATAGTGGAAATCTTATTGTACCAGTTATTGCCACCAAACTGTTCAGTCATTGAAGATTGTGAGCTACATTTCCCAAACACAACAGGGTCATTCCATGTCAGTCAACGTGGTCATGTCACCCACCGTCTTGGATTTTGATGAAACTTGGTGTATACCCTTCCCCTATGGTTGAAAGAAAGCCCCTTAATTCCCCCCCCCCCATCTCAAAGGTTATGGAGAAAAAAAAAAATGTACACAAGGCCAAGGATCTCAAGATGGACAGAAACGCAGATTTCACGAAACTTTGAAGTGCTATAAAATTTAAAACCGTTTGAAATAGAGGGGAAAAAATTAAGGGGGTTTATTTCAACCATTAGGGAAGGGAGTACACCAAGTTTCATCAAAATCCAAGATGGTGGGTGATGAAACCCTTGTTTTTTTGCGTTGATTTGCTGTGGAATGACCCAACACACACTTACACTCTGTAGGGATGTATTGGTAGCCTACAAAAAGGAATCTGGTTTTCATTACAACCCAAGACATGTCTTGTGAGACCTTGTCATGAGTCCCACAGCATTGTTAGGACCAGGTTTGGATTGGCAAGCACTAATGCAGGGAGAGGAAGGAGAAGAAATAGGGATGGGGTGGTGGTGGTGGTTAGGGCTAAATGGCAAGAAGCTGGGTTGGAGGAGGGAAGATCTTACCTGTCTCCCCCAACTTCAGTTGCATTGGTAGGGGGAGAATGGATATCTGCTCTCCCCTGACTTTCCTGCAGAGTGCAGTGTCTCAGAGGAAGCTAAAGGTAAAAGTAAAGGGACCCCTGACCATTAGGTCCAGTCGTGGCCGACTCTGGGGTTGCGGCGCTCATCTCGCTTTATTGGCTGAGGGAGCAGGCATACAGCTTCCGGGTGATGTGGCTAGCATGACTAAGCCACTTCTGGCAAACCAGAGCAACGCACGGAAACGCCGTTTACCTTCCCGCTGGAGCAGTACCTATTTATCTACTTGCACTTTTACGTGCTTTCGAACTGCTAGGTTGGCAGGAGCAGGGACCAAGCAATGGGAGCTCACCCCGTCGCAGGGATTCGAACCGCCGACCTTCTGATCGGCAAGTCCTAGGCTCTGTGGTTTAACCCACAGCACCACCTGCGTCCCCAGAGGAAGCTGAGAAGAGCTTAAAACAGCCAAAAGGGAAGTGGAAGTGGAGGCGGCAGCAACTGAACAGGATCCAAAATTGGAGGCTGCAGTCTTTTTGCCTGGAATCAGGTGCTGCTTTCACAGATGGGATAAGAGTCACCGACCCTGAAAGAGTAAGCATTTGCAATCCTCACATGATGAGTGAGTACGCCACACCTCATCTTTAAAAGTTTTGTAGGCAGGGCATGGAAACTTGTTGGGACATCTTCATTGCATCCATCCTTTTCTGAACTTCTTGCTGTGCCCTGAGCTTTGTGCCTGTTGCTGAGCCTGTGCCATTACTTGTCTGAATAAAGATCTCTTCGTTACTTACAGGTAAGAGCCTCTGCTTGCATGTTTTGGGGGTGGGAGCTAGGACAGAACCTCCTTTGAAGTCTAACACACTTCACCTGTAAGGTGAACTGCTCCCCAAACTCCCAGGATCTCATTATGTCAGCTCAAGTGGGAATGTACAACCCTGCCTTGTCCTTTTCAGTATTTTGCAATTTGATGGATTGCCTCTTTTACTCCTTTGTCACAGATTAGTGAAGCTATAAACAGAAAGTTAATAGAAGAGGCAGTGCTATTAAAAAAAAGGCCACCAACAACAAATCTAAATATTGAAGAGATCAGAGCACCACAGCCTGGGAACATGATCATAAGTCACAGATTCCTGGTGGCATTAAAACACGGAGACCTTGTTCTCTTAGGAGATTAAAATGAGAACAGTAAATGGCACACGATTAATCCCAGTTAATGACAAAACCTATGAAATTCTGCAAGTTGGAGGAACAGTGCTTGTCAAAACTTGTCTCACTTCTTTAAATCAATCATATCAATATCTTGGGAGCAGTAGCACTACTATTTAATGGCCTGATTAATTAAAAACTTATAAAATGCCTAAAATGGCTCGGTGTGGTACAAAGGTAAAATTAACTAAGGATTATGATATAATCATAGCATAAATAGAAGAGAGGGAGAAGGAAAAGAACACAAAGGCAATCAAAAGAGGAGATGCTAAACTTGACAGCAAAGCCATCAAGTATGAGCTAAATAAAATAAATGAGACTATGTGAGCATTCAGATGTGGAGAATATTGCATTATTTTAGTTTTCCTGGTTATATAGCTAGCACTTTTGTCCCAGTTTCTAGCATTTCTTGTGCACTGCATTGCATTCTGCAATATGGAACTGTGATTTATTTATTTTAATAATAGACATGCCGCCATGTCATGCTACATTTCATTCACACAACTGGGTGTGGTGTGACACAACAGCAGACATAATCCTACAGGTCACCACCCTTTATGCCTATGTGCACTTTGATGTCCTCATTTTCCATCCATGTAAAAGGCAGGAAAGAATTGTATGCCAGAACAGCTATGGGGAAATTACAGGGTCATAGAAGTCATAAAAACATAGAGCTGGAAGGGATGGCGACTGTCACCTAGTCAAGCCCATGCAATGCAGGAATCTTTCACCCAATGCTGGCTCGAACCCACAACCCTGAGATTTAGAGTCTTATGCTCTACCAGGTGAGCTATGCAGCCTCTCTCTTCCTGGGCCAAGACCATCAACAGAGGGGCTGTCCTGTTGGGCAGCAATAGATTGTAATGGATTGCTTGGAAGTCATTTCAGCACCTGGTGGGGAAAAAATTCACCCCCCCCCAAATCCCGCCTCCTGTCCTATATTTTTCCAGAACAAAAGTGGCAACCCTACTCCAAGGACATCTTGTTATCTCTGCACACTGCTGCCTCTGTACCCTTCATTAGGGACCTATCACTACCAGGGCTGGATTTAGGTTTGATGAGGCCCTAAGCTACTGAAGGTAATGGGGCCCTTTATATGTCCAGCTGTCCTTTGTCAACAACAAATTGTCACTGTTTTTTGTGTTGAACATATGCTATATGGTAATTTATGGACCTAATAGGTATCTAAAGCCATTTGCACATAACAAAATTTGTATTTTATCACAGTTAATGTTGAACTGAAATACAATTAAGAAGTAGTATATTAATAGTGAAATACAATTAAGAAGAAGTATATTAATAGTGAAATAATTATTACGCTCTAACTTAAAATGATTTTTTATATTCATAAACCAGTGATATTTTAGGGAGCAGGCCAGCAGGCGGGGCCCATTACTTAGGAGCCTACACAACACAAAACACTGTAGCTGTATGTAGGTTTTATTTGATTTGTTTTTTATCTTATATTTTGGAAATGTACATCCAGCTTCTTTTCCTTCATTTTTTTGCCCCCCCCCGAGAGTGGAGCCCTAAGCTATAGCTTGTTTAGCTTATACAGTGATACCTTGGTTTACAATCATAATCCATTCTGTAGGTGCAGTTGTAAACAGGTTGCAACCCAAGGCACGCTTTCGCCAATGGGGCCTCCCAAAAAATAAAAAATGGTTGTACAGTGGTACCTCTGGTTGTGAATGGGATCCATTCTGGAGCCCCGTTCGCAACCTGAAAGGAACGCAACCCACGTCTGCACATGCGCGGGTCGCGATTCGCCACTTCTGCGCATGCGCGTGATGTCATTTTGCGCATCTGGGCATGTGTGAGTGGCGAAACCAGAAAGTAACCCTTTCCGGTACTTCCGGGTAGCCGCAGGACATAACCTGAAAGAATGTAACATGAAGCAGATGTAACCAGAAGTATGACTGTAATCCAAAAAAATGGGTTGTAATCCAAAAAAGGGACACACTTTAGGGTTTGACGTGGTTGTAATCCAAAACGGTTGCAAACCAAGGCACCACTGTACGTAAATCCGGCACTGATCACTACCACATGTCTCTTCCTCCTCTGGGGAGTGCCAGGAATTGTTCTGTACACTGTACCTTCCACACCCACCTTGGTATATTCTGAGGTCTGCTACTGCTGCCCTTATTCCTCTGGCCCAGAATCTGTGTCCGAGGTGATAGCATGGAATCGATTTTGCAGCTCCAGTGGCACAGCATGACTTCTGACAGTCATGCTTCTGTATGTCACAGTCCTCCAGGGATTCATCTCCTGCAACAGGTGATCTTCCTGCTCCCTAGGGGCACCCCACCTGCATTGCTGTCCTATCTCCTGCAATGGGCCATCTTCCTCCCCTTTGCACGAGATGAACCCCTGGAGGAATGGGAAACCACTTTCATTTGCTTTATTCATATTGCAAATGAATGCATATCTCTAGTCTGATACCAGTAGCAGATTATAACAACCTGTTTCTCTTTTCTTGGCATACTTGGGAGTCAACAGCTTTTGCAAAGCAAACGCTCCAATTCTGACTTGGCTGTCTAAGGCTGAGTGGTCAAGATTTGCCTTTGGTACAAGTCATTAGATTCTGAAGGATAAAATGTGTTCTGCAGTTATGTGCACCAGACAGCAACTGCTTGACAGATCTTGCCATTTTAGATCCCATCAGAGTAGTTCCTCCAAGAAGCCAGCAAATCACTTCCCCCCTTGGTTTTTGTGTTTTTGAGCAAACAGAGCTAATATTGACATTTCTAATTCCAACAGAATTGATGAGTTTCTAGTCCAGAGCCAAACTAATTTTCTCTTCCAGGAGACAGGCAAGCATATCTTCCCTAATGCGCTGGTGCCATATGGAATAGGTGTCCTGCCAATGTTTCACACTAGATTAAAACTGGCAGAAAGAAAAGGGAGGGAACCCACCCACAAATTTCAGAGCAAAAATTGTCAACAACCGCTAAGAGCTTTCAGCTGGGGGCTTCAATATGGAGTCCCAGAAGCTGCCAAGTCAATGTTCACGCACACTCTTCGCAATGGAGAATGCAGTCAACTTGTCCAAAACTTGTCCTTACAAGTGTAACAAAAAATTGCAGTGTTTGATGCTCCTGTTCAGTGTTCCAGCCACGATGTTCTTTTCTATTCTTCCTTCCCCTCAGGTCAAGCCCCATCTGCACTATATATTTAAAGCAGTATCGCAACTCTTTAATCAGCCATAGCTTCCCCAAAAAGAATTCTGGAAACTATAGCTTGCTACAGGGTTAGGAAACCCCTATTCTCTTCACAGAGCTACAGTTCCCAGAGTTCTCTGGAAAGAGGAATTGCCTGTGAAACCACTGTGGTTCTGTGAGGGGAACAGGGGGTCTCCTAACAACTCTCAGCACCCTCAGAAACTACATGGAGATCTGAAGGAAGTGAGAGAGCAAAATATGATATATAAGATTGATATATACAGAACTAAATTTCAAATGGGGGGGGGGACGACGACGACGGACAGACGAACCATACAACAGAAAACTGAGGAATTTTAATTCAGGAAGAAATGCCAAAGGGTGAGAGCAGTTAGCAAAAACAACAATCTTCTTTAATAGGTGTTAATTGATATGTAACTCGCAATGGACAAGTTTACCCAACTACAAAGTGGGAGGGGAAGGGGAAATCCTCTAAATGTTCCTTGCAAGGTTATTATATTAATAAGATTTCACGTTTATTGGCTGTGTTATTCTGAGCTAATTGCATGGGTGCAATCTCAATCTCAGTTAATGCCAGTTACAATCAATTCATATTTAATTAACATAACCGACTGATTAAATGTAAAGAGAACGCTTATTTGACACAAAGAATTCATAGCTCCTCCACTCTTATTAGGTGCTTTAGAAGGGTAATAATTGACATTGATAGGATAATAGCTGATGGTTTTACAGTTTCCCAGCCTCTTGTGTTAATGGAAGCACCACTATACTGTAAAGTTCTTTCACCCTAAAATACCAGCCAGACTAAGGTTATAGAAACTGTAGCCAGGGATGGCTAAGCAGTGGCCCTCCAGGTGGTGTTGGTGTCAGACTCTAGGTGGGGTTATGAGAGGCATAGTCCATCCAACATCTGGCAGGGGCACAAAATGTTGCCTGGATTATAGTAAGAATTTAGCCTTTTTTTTTTATAGCGAGCAAAACCATGGCTTGGTCATTGAGGCTGCATCTTGGCCTAGCATGCTTCCCCCACCCCATACTTTTATCTCTTCTCCATTCCACCATTTCATAGATCAAAATAACCACCATTCATTTTTATATCCAAATCACATAAACTGTGGTTTGTGGTCCTTGTATGTAGCTGTCACCCTGCCTGCTTCTAAGCTCTAAGACAGGCATAGGCAAACTCAGCCCTCCAGGTGTTTTGGGACTATAACTCCCATGATCCCTAGCTAACAGGACCAGTGGTCAGGGATGATGGGAATTGTAGTCCCAAAGTATCTGGAGGGCCGAGTTTGCCTATGCCTGCTCTAAGACAAGTGCAGCCAATGTGGTGCTTTCTAGATGTTGTTGGACTACAACTCCCATCATCCCTGATCATTGTCCATGCTGCCTCTGGTTGTTGGGAGATGAAATTCAACATCCTGTGGTCCACAGGTTAGCAGCCCAGAAACAGTGCCACAATTTATTTTAAAAGTTTTCTGTGCCACTTTCCAAGAGAAAACGTGCTGTGTTAACTAATATACACCTTTTTGTATATGCATTTGGGTATGTGCCTATTTATAAACACATTCATTTTCACACACAGTGTCATTTAATATATATGCATTTTCGTACACATGGCTTGGAGAACTGCGCTGCAAATTTGAGAGGTGCAAGTTTGTAAGGATGGTTGCACTTCAGTTCACGTATCGTTTCAGGAAGTGTGAGTGAGGAACAAAGTCAAATTTCTCCCCCATCCCTGAACAGCTGGAACTCACTGAGCCCATGAAGGAGGCAAGTCTTCCCTTATTGGCAGTTGCCAGGCAACAGCTTCCACTGAGGTTCCCCGGGGCAAGGGGATGGGGCTGAATTGTTGCAACTCACTCAGCCCACACCCATGATGGAAAGAAGTTTTTCTGCTGGCATTTATAGACAGACAGATAGACACACCACATACATTTATAGAAGCACACACACACAAGTTAAGGATGCACTGTTTTGCTTTACCAATGTGCAACACTCCTGTAAGTCCCTCTCACACCAGAAATATCTGGACCTCAGAATGCCTGGTTACCTAATGCTAGCTTTTGACTCTTGGGTGTGCTACTAGCTTGAAAATGCACCCAAATGGTGTTTTTGTGTGTCTGCTCTTAGAAAGGTTTCTTCATTGCTGACAACTCAGAATCAACATGTGAAGAGAAGCTCTTCTAATTCAGAACAGCGGTGAGGAGGATGGTCTCTCCACCCCTCTATCTGTGTTTCCTAGTCTCTGGTTATCTCACCTAATTAATACAAGAATAATCCATGTTTTGAAATTCCTTGCCCGGATTAGTCGGTGGCTGGAGTGCTTAGCTCATGTATACACAGGATCTCTCTAAGGGTTTGCTTTCTAATATTTATGCTTGGGACTGTAACATACCGATAAGAGGAGTGTCTGGCATTGGAAATGCTGAAATAAATTTACATTTGCAAAATCGCTCTTTTAGAAAAAGCTACATTCAACCGGCATTAATGTTCTCAGCTGAAGTCATTTAAAAAAGCAAGAAAATCCACAAAGGGGGGTTTTAGGCTCTCTCCAACTTTAAATCAGCCTGATGCCATGGAACGGAATGGAATCTCTTGCAGGGAGTGGCCGG